GAGCTCATTTTAGAGCATGCCATGGCTACAGACGGAGTGCTTCCAAGACCTTCAGCTTCCCATGAAAATACATGGAAAAGGTTTCAGTTCACACAAATACTTCCTTTTCCTCCTTTACCACAACTTCCCAAGGTGAGGGTCCTGTGGCCCATAGGAAGAGAATCTGCAGAGTCAGGGGTTTGAGGCTCCCAGGATGGGGTCTGAGGATGAGGAGAGGAGGATGGTATCTGGTGGAATGTTCTTCGGAAGGAAGAAGCAAGAAGTAACTGTGAAACACGTGGGATTTGAAAGAGAAATAGACAGGAAATGGATATAGGGAAGGTAATGGCTACTGGGGTCACAGGAAAAATGGACACTGCCTGTGAAACAATGGTATGCAGGATTTCTCTAGATCCCAGAGGTCACCTTTGGCAGAAAGAAAGGTCATGGTTTTCCTATCGGGATGGGGAGTCTGTTGCTTAACAGCAATCTTCTATTTTTGCTTTTCTCACCTCTATTTTTGTTTTCTTCTCTTTTATGTTGATATAAAAGGCAAATGTCATGGTTCATTCATCTTCATTCTGAATAACTGAAATTACAGGAAGGAGGGAGGGGGAAGAAAGGAGAAGACTGCAGAATTCCAGAGAACCGTGAGTGTGGAAGTAGCCAGGTTCTAACAGGAAGAGACGGGAGACAACAATGAATACAGAAAGAAAAGAAGGAAGGGAGGGAGGAAGACAGGGAAAGAAACATGGAGGAAGAGGAACACGTGAAAAAGGAAGACGTTGGATTCAACTTTATTCAGTGAATATGTTCAAGAATTTTCTATGTACAAGGCATGGGGCTACACAGAAATGGTTAACAACCCCGCTGTCTGGGGTTGAAGAGTCTACTTGAAACAACCCGCTTTCAGGCCAACTAACAAACCCAGAGTTTTGGCAGAGTTAGCCAATAGCCACTTAGGGTGACAGGCGATGCCTGGCGGGGGCACAGAGAACCGAGCCATTGTGTTTTGACCTGAGGCCATGAGGGAAGGTTCCCTAAAACTGGTAGCATTTTCCTGGGCCTGAGATTTATGTGGGAGTATAAGCGGGTGGAAGGAACACTCTCTACTCCTGCAGAATGCCTCCTACCCACCTCCTGTCAGCCAGAGGTCATTTATCTCTGCAGCGGCAGATATCTCTGCCCCAGACATTCTTAGTACATAGAAATATGATTTCCAAGTGCCGATATGGGCAAGCCTACTCCCAAGGTACGTTTTTACTGATCCACAGCAAAATGCAACACATAAAGACAAAACAGAAGTAAAATATTCAGATTAAAGAACAGCCTTTTTTTTTTTTTTTTGAGATAAGGTCTCACTCTGTCGCTCAGGCAGTGGTGTGATTAGAGCTCACTACAGCCTTGACCTCCTGAGCTCAAGCAATCCTTCTACCTCAGCTTCCTGAGTAGCTAGGACCGCAGGCACACACCATCACACCTGGCTGATTTTTGTATTTTTAGTAGAGATAGAGTTGCCCAGGCTGGTCTCGAACTCCTGGTCTTGTGTGATCCGCCCGCCTCGGCCTCCCAGAGTGCTGATATGACAGGTTTGAGCCATGGTACCCAACCCTGTCTTTTCTTAGGATGTGAGGTCCTTCCTGATTTTTCGATGATAAAAGACCTTGTCTTTTCAATGAAATGATACTGATAGAAGATAGTATACTAGATTGGATTATAAAAACTAGTTTTGCTGTTAATAGTTGACCAAATGCATTGGTCTCTGAGATGTGACTGATCTTAAACCATTTTGGAGTCTGAGAGCACCTGGCCTGGAATCCACAAGGTGCCCCCCGGGCCTGCAGATTCAGCCCTTTCTCCAGTTCCTCCCTCCAGGCCTTGGGAGTCTCCGCCTACAGGTGGGCGGTGATGAGCCCAGGACCCTGTGCCTTTGTCCTCTCCTGTGTTGAGGTGTGGAATTGGTCACTTTCCAGAGCAAGTGATAAACTGACTCACACCGAAGCGGTAATGAGGGAGGCCAATGCAATCTCTCCCTGGGGTCTTTGACTTTTAGTGGAGTATTAAAACTTAATTTAAACTGATGAACCGTAATCATCCCATCCTTCCATGGGATGATGGGGAAAATATATTTCTTTTTAAATAAAGGGCTTTCTTCTGAAATCAGACCACACCCTTTCAATGACTGACACAGACTGCTGGAGAGACGCAAGAGTAACAGCTGATTCTGTCTTCTAGATCAAAATGTCCCACTCCCCAGTGAAAACAAATCCTGACTTTTTCTCTGCCCCTCTACGACACAGGATGAAGCAGTCAGTCCCATCACCTCTAGCCCTGGATTAAAGAGCAACTCACATATCGCTCTTTCTTTTTTTTTTTTTTTTTTTTCTGAGTTGGAGTCTCTCACTGTCACCCAGGCTGGAGTGCAGTGGCGCAATCTTGGCTCACTGCAACCTCCACCTCCTGGGTTCAAGTGATTCTCCTGCCTCAGCCTCCTGAATAGCTGAAATTACAGGTGCCCGCCACCACACCCAGCTAATTTTTTGTATTTTTAGTAGAGATGGGGTTTCACCATGTTGGCCAGGCTGGTCTCGAACTCCTGACCTCGTGATTCACCAACCTCGGGATTCACCAACCTCGGCCTCCTAAAGTGCTGGGATTACAGGCATGAGCCACCATGCCTGGCCCACACATCCCTCTTATAAGACCAAACTCTGGCCAGTTTTCTGCATGCCTGATGCTCCTTGCAGAAACAGATCTATCCTGCCTACCTCTGGAATCCTGGGGCTTTGGGTGGTGCCCAATCCACAGCAGGAGCACAACAGGATATGAGTGAGTGAGGGAGAAGTGAGCGGTTGGATATGGCAGGTTAGAAACAGCCCAGCCTCCAGTGGGGCACTCTGCTTACGTACACTTAGGTAAATCCAAAACCTCAAAGCTCACAAAGACTTGAAAACTCCCGATTCCATGAATCCTGATTACTAACAACCCAAAGGAACCATTTAGCTCCCTGAAGACTAACAGAGTCTGTGTGCAATGTAAGAGAGAAACTCCGGAGTGTGCATGGCCCAGGAAGACAGGTGGAAACCCAAGACGTGCTGCAATGCCTGTTGAAGCCCCTTTCCCCTGAACTGGCCAACAATTTTCCTTCCACATACATTAAAAGTATAGTCTGTATTTTAACTTGATGAAAAAAATGTAGACAGGATCTAGGACAAAGCCACCAAATCTTTTGTTCCCTTGGACACTCGATAGAATAAATGGTTTTCCACGTCACACAGGAGAATTTGAAGTGCTTTGTTTCTGCAGAAGTGGAACAGAGATAGTGGAGCATCTGTCAAAACCCCCAAAATGCTTTAACGTGGTGGCGGCTGGCTGGGAGGAGCAGAGCCCGGGGTTCCTTAAAAGCCAATAGTTCTGGAAATGGAGGAGGCTTGTTTGAACCAGCACGATAGTGTAACCTGGGCGCTTGTTAGAAAAGTACATTCTCAGGCCCCTCCCAGGACCAACTGAGTCAGAAATTCTAGGGCTGGAGTCCAGGAATCTGTGTTTTCACAATCCCCCCAGGTTTCTGAAGTTTGAGAACCAGTGAAATAAGACCAGGGGCCTCACGCAGGGCCACGGCTCTAAGGTGACCTAAAAAAAGTGGATGACAGCTGAGGAGCTGCCATGCCCGGTCGTGGCCAGGCCTGTACTGAAGCAGCCGAGGGCGCCCGTCCAGGCACAGGGGATGCCCACGCCCGTCAAACCACCGTGGGCACCCCGTCTCACCACCAGCCTCTCCCCGACTCCTGTTGTGACTTGACCTATGCTCGTGGCACTGGGAAAGGGCTGTGGCCTCTCAGGCTATTATTAGTTCCAATCCGCACAAGTCCACCAGTGCCAAGGGAAGCTTCTTCGAACTTTGGAAGGCGGGTTAACTGTTTCAGAGCAGCTGCGGGCCCAGACAGTGGTCGGAGACTCTAGACGCAGCACAGCGCTCTCACGAGCGCCAGGGCCGGCGGCGAGCTGTGGTCCCGCCGCACCGAGGCCCCTCTCCGCCAGGCCGCAGAACCCGGGTCGGAGAGCAGCCTGTCTCAACCTGCGTCCCCAAGGCCGAGGATGTGTCCTGGTTTTTTAAAAAGCTGTTTGTGCACTTCCAGGCGCTCACCCCTTTTATTTGGGGCTCCAGTATCACTGTATTGACCTAATTAATTCATTTTCTTCTCTGTCCAAAGTGGAAGCCGGAGCACAGGGATGCAAATCAAATAGAAACCCGTTCTGGGTGCCAATACTCCGGACAATTAAAACAAAGAGCGCAGCGGCGGCGGTGGCAGCGGCACCACACAAAACCCTCGGGAAACATCCAGAACGTGCGGCGAACCAGCCGGCAGGGTGGGGCGCAGCCCGGCTGCAAACGTGCCAGCTGGGAGGCAGTCCCAGCCCGGCAGGTGGACAGGTGGAGGTTGGCAGGGGTCAAAATCCATCTCGCAGGCCTGGGAGCCGGGCAGCTGCGCCGCACAACTCCAGGGGGCACACTCGCCCTGCGCCCTGCGGGAATGGCGCCCCGGCCAAAAAAGCAACCAGACAAAAACCCATTGCACGGGCGGGAACTGGGCTGTGCGACCGGCAAAAGGGGTGGGTGGGAGGGGAGCATGCGGGAGCGAGGAAGGGAATGGGAAGGGAGAAACAGGAAAGGGAGGAAAAGGAGAAAGTGAAAAAGCGAGGGGGTTTGGGAGTGGGAGGGGAGAGGGAAGAGGGAGCCAGAGGGAGAGGAGGGGGATCGCGGAGAGCAGGAGCGCGGAAGGGGGGCGGAGGAGGAGCGGGGAGAAAGGGAAAGGGGGGTGCTCCGGGGCCGAGCGACTCGGGCGGGGGGTGGCGGCGGCCAGGGGGCGGGACCCGGCTCCGTGCCCACCTGCGTGGGCGCCCGCTGCCCGGAGGGGTGGAAGCCCGGGGGCCGGAGGGAGCGGCCGGGAGGCGGGCTGGGCAGAGAGGCAAAGGGGAGGGAGGGGACGGGGACGGGGAGGCGGGGAGGAGCCGGCGCTCGGCTGGGGCTGCGGGGGCGGCGACGGCGGGAGCGGCAGTGGCGGCGGCGGCGGGTCCGGAGGTGGCGGCAGGTGGCCCCGCGCGTGGCGGCCGGCCCGGCCGGGGGCGGGCGGGAAGGTGGTGCCTCGGGCGGGGGCCGGTCCCTGCACCAGGTGACCTGTTCCGGCCCGGATCCGGGCGGCCTCGCCATGCAGCGGCGCGGCGCGGGGCTCTGGTGGCCGCGGCAGCAGCAGCAGCAGCAGCAACCCCCGCCGCCCGCGGTCGGCCCCCGGGCCGCAGCCATGGCCCCCCCAGGTGGCGGCGTCCCCCCGGGCCTCGGCGGCAGCCCTGCCTGCGCGCTGCTCCTGCTCTGCTACCTGGTGAGCGCCGGACCCTGCCCGGGTCCTCCCCTCCGCGCGGAGCCCCGGGGACGCGGGTGGGGGCGGCCGGGAACACCCGCCACGCCGGGCGGAGACGCCGCCGCTAGTTTTCTCTCTTCCTCGCCGCTGCGCCTGGGGCGCTCCCGGCACCTGGGATGGGTACCCCGGGCGTGGAGAGGGGCGCGTGGACAGGACTTGCCGCGCTGCTCTCTCGCTCGTGCCCATTCCTCTCCCTCCTGTACTCGCTCTAGACCAGGTCGGTTCCCCTCGAGACCCCTTCTCGTCCCCGACTCCACCCGGGAGCCTCGCCGCCCGGAGTTCGCTCCCCGCCCCGCCGCGCGCGGTCTCCAGCCCCCTCCCGACCCCTCTTCGGCTTCCCTCTCTACCTTCCCGCTCCTCCTTTCCTTCCCTTGCCCAACTTCGCCTCTTTCTCTCGGCGCCCGCCACCCGCCTCGACCCTCCTTTCAGTTTCCACCGGGTGCTCCCGGCCCGGACGGTTTTCCGCCAACGCACCTTGCATCTCCAGCGCTCTTCAACTCCTCCTTGGTCACTCCAGCCAAGTTGCGGATGCCGGAAAGAAATCTAGTTCTCTGTAACACGCTTACCGCCAGAGTGGTGACTTTAGCTGCGCCTTAAACCCATTGTCATATCAGAGAGTATGTTTGGCTCATGCATGGCAGTTCGCAATTTGCACACTTCTTGGCTTCTGTTTTAGTCACCGACTAAAGGGCAGTAACCTATTTTTCAAAACCAACTTATTTTAAATACCAGAGTAGTGGAGACCCTCAGAACAAGGTGGGGGGAAATTTGCTCAATTTCTTTGATGGCTTGCTTGCTTATGTTCTGAGTTCTCCTAAACAATAGTAAATTTACAGAAGGCGACACCCTTCCTGCCCAGCCTACCTTACGTTCCAAAATCCTGCAGAAGCCTTGGGTTATCTTGCCATATATTACTGTAAATAAATGAAATGGAAAATGCTGAATCATGAAACTGATGTAATAGGAAATTCACAGAATGCCAAAAAAAAAAAAAAAAAAAAAAAATGAGCAGTGTCATTGTCCGCAATTCATTTCACTTATGTGGCATTGTCATTATTTGGAGTCTTCCTTTTTGGAAGCCAAAAACTACTTAGGAGATACTGGTAGGAATTAGAATTTGATTCCGAAGAAATTTGCCACCCAACCCAAGTTTCTTTTAATGCCTTTTACTTCTTGAATGTTTCATTTCTTGAAGCAGGAAGGTGTAAAAATGCAAATTATGATTCTGCCTGTGCATCTACCTGTTGAGCCATCCGTGCTTTTACTCATCTTTCAAAATTAGCCAATACCAAATTGTGTGGTTGGTCTTACTTCATATTTCCATAAGGAGTTGTCAGTTCACATGAATGATTTTTTTTTGCCCAAGAGATGTTATTATTTAATATTTATGCCACAAGGTTACAACACACAGTCTCATAAATAAAACTGCCATAACAAATGACAAGATTTCAGTTTAAACAGATGATCCCTGTACACAAGGCACTGCTGGCTGCCCACAGAGGCAGAAGTAATGTAGTAGAGGCCTGTGTGAAACATTCATGTACAGATGGGCTGGGCCAGAAAGTTCCACGGGGACATCTCAAAACCTGGCAAGGAGGGGGACTCCTTCCCGACAGTTCAGGAAGTCAGAGTCAGGAGAGCAAAACCTAAGGGCCTAAATGGGCTCTGGGAACAGAGACACATGATGGAGCAAGTATCATTCATGCTAAAGGTCTGTGTAGACCAAAGGGGATTAAGAGAACAGAGGGAAAAATGGTGCAATGGATAGGCTCAAGTGAGAAGGCGAAGGGGTGAGGAAGGGCTCCAGAAAGAGGGATTTTAGAAAATACTGTCATGTGGAAAATAACCAGAGCGTGGATGAATGTCTTGGCAGACGGGGAAGGAGCGGATTTGGGGACCTCACAGAGGGGGAAATGTCAGTGCTTCCTGCCTCTGTATGCTTCCTCCAGATGAATTTCTGATACGCTTACTGTGCAAGAGAGACTTTGATAAACCAGAGAGCCCTTTTGCAACTGAACGAATGAATGCAAACCCAGCGACGCAAAAGTCGACTTAAAAGGTGGTTTCCACAGTTTGTTCTGAAGTCTAGCTGTTGATCAGCGATGTTGCTCTTGGGTCTGTGCTACCTGAGATAGTACTGAAGGTAAGGCTTCTTGATCTTGGAGAAGCTTGGTGTGTGATTTGGGGGAAATGTAAATATCCATATGAAACACTTGAAATACATAGAACAATAGAGAGAAAATGCAAATGCATAATTGCGTGCATTCTGCTCAATCACGGAATGCTACCTGGAGGAAGTGGTTTGTCAGGAGGATGGGGCTGGGCAGGAGCAGGGTACAGATGGAGCAGGATAGCTAGGCAGGATCTCAGGAGTATGCAGACTCTCGGGGAAGAAAGCTCTTTCATAATGTGAAAGCCTACATGGTAATAACAATAGCTTGCATTGGGCTGCGTCGTTTATAGGCATTATCCAGTATTAGTTTTAGCAAGAATCCTGTGAGATAGGGGCTATTATCATCTCCATTTAGATGAGATAACAGAGACACAGAGAGGTTAAGTTAGTTGCCCCAGGCCACACAGTCTGAGATTGAAACCCAAGTCTAGTCTAAAAAACCAGAATCTAAAAAAACCAGAGTCTCCCTCTAGAGCCCCAGCTCTAATCCCCGCTAGCTTATTGTCTTCTGGATTTTGCAGCTTGTAAGTCATTCTTCATCGATGTACGGGTCATTAGCAAAGCTCTAGCAATTAGCAGCTACTGTGCATTGGCCAGGATGTGAGGTCATGTCTAAAGTAATCTAAAATATACAAAGCAGGAAACGCAGGCCACAGAATAGAAGCAGGATGTTAAAGGGGGGAAGAAAGGTAAAGCTAGAAAATATTTGCCATTGTTAATGAAGAGGTAAAGGTTTGGGATTTTTATGTAGCCCAGAGGCCGCTGATGGAGTGTAGCATTTGAGTTCCTGTGAATGTGCATACAGGTGTATAGCAAATGTGCCTTGGAATGCATTCCAAAGCCAAATTGCCTCTGATTTGGGGACCAGTTCCTCTTTTGTGTTGTCTTTACCTATTTGCCTGTTCTCAAGAGCTGGAGGTGGAGAGTGGCTTCTTAAGCCCCTGCCCTCATGGAAAGCATGGTTCCTGGGGTCAGGGTCCTGAGGAGTGGGCGCCTGCCTTCTCTATGGGCTAGGACGGGGTAACCTTCAATATCAGCTCAAGAAGAGTACTGTGTCTGTAGCCAGGATACTGCCAAAGCATGAATAATTGTGATGAGGGCTGAAAGATAAGTCACGGAACGATGCCAAACAGATTTCTGAAAAGATGATCCCTGGTTCCAGTGGCTGCCAGAAAATTCTGAGGTCATCAAAGGTCAAGATACAGAGAGCCTCCTCAGAGAGGGAGAGGGCGTTGAAAGCAAAGGATATTGAAATTGCTTCCACTGAGGTCGAGGGTGCTGAGTACTTTGCTCCACACACAACTTTCCCTGCCCAGCGGGACCCTTGCTATTTCCTTACACCATTAACTCTTACCTTCCTCCAGCTTGGCTAGAACCGGCCTGAGGCTGCCCAGCTCTCTATCTGTGACAGTGTCACTTGTAGAAGGCAATTCCGTCCATCCTAAGCTCTGGTCTCCAATGTATAATATTTTCCTATATGAGAATATGATATACACTCTATCTCAGGAGGGCCAGTATTGATGTCAGCTGTCGAGGTGAAATGATCAGAGTGGATAGCTGCACTTGTTAGACAGTCAGACTGAGGACAAAGAAAAGGACAGTAACAGCACAGAGACATGTGGGACAGTTAGCAGGCGGCGGCTGTGACAGAGCCTTGGACAGCGTTCTCTGTAAGTGGCCACGCACACTTAGTCATCCATCTATGAGTATTCATTAACCCCTCACTAGGTGTGCAGTGCAGGGCATGGGAAGATCGAAACGAAGTAAAGAGAACTGCAATTATCCAGCTTCAGGGGGAGGATTATGAATATTTGAAAACAGAGATTATCCCCAAACCTCACATCAACCAGTAGCTGCCGTATTCATCCTGACCAGAGCTCCTTAAATCTCCCAAGCCGTGGTATTGGCCTCTTGCCTTCTATTTCTTCTGGCTGCTTATTGGCAGAAGCGCCAGAGCCAGAGGACAGGTAGGAGTGAATAATCCAGGCAATTCGCTGGGAGGATGGGTGGACTGGAGTAGACCGTAAATAGCCTAAAGTGAATTCAGTTACCCTGTTTATTGGCTCATGCCATTCCCCTGAGAAAGGAGCTGAGAGGGGCAGGAGGCGTCTGCAGCACGTGACCAATGGCTGATGGGATTCTGCCTTGGCAGGTCTTGTTTCCTGTCTCTACCTGGAGAAGGGCTTGGTGATACCGGGGAGCTGGCCGAGTCTGGTGTTTGTGTGTTTGTGGTTAAGGCGATATCTATCTCCTCCAAACTCAAGGCCTGAGGGCGTGATGGCATTTTAGCCCCTGACCCTTTCAAGATGAGAATGCGGGAAGTTATAAGATTTCCCCACCCTGCAGCCAGACAGCGGTGACGGGTGTCAAAGCCAGGGCGTGCGTCCACGGCGTCATCTTTGGATGTTGTTGGAAGACAAGAGGCACACCCTCACTGACCGGAGTCAGCCAATGCGGATTTGAATTTTGGTTCCGCTTTTGGTAGCTGGTTGACCTTGGGCAAGTTACTTATCCTCTCTGAAGCCATTCTGTCGCCTCCACTGTAACAGTGGGACTCTGTCTCCCTCTGTGGGTTGCTGTGAGGATTGGGTTAGAAGTGAGAAGTTCTGTGAGGTCCCATGTGAGAGGATGAGGTTAGAAGTCAGAGAGAAAAAAGGGTTTAACATACCCGGTGCTCAGTACACAGTAGGTACTCAATGAAATAAGAGCAGACCAACCTTAGGTAACTTCGTGTGATGTGAGTTGGGAAGAAACAGCATACTAAATAAAATGGGGGAGAATCTTCCACAACTAGGAATATTGATCATGACTGGGATGGTGTGGCTCTGGCCAGCTCTCAGGTTTAGGAAGGCAAAATACTGAACCGGGAAATGTTTCCCCAGGCGCATGCTGATTTTGAAGTCTGTACTGACATCTTTGTCCATTTTGCTTAATTGCATGCTTTGTTGACGCAGACAGAATTTTTGCTTATATCTAGTGGGCAGAAATTAGAAAAATGGGCTCTTTAAGGCAAGACACTTACCTTTTTGAACTAGGGAAAATGTGATCCAGCCAGTTTGAAGAGAAAACCCTCATGAGCCACCGTTTTCTTAGGAGAAGGATGGAGCAGAATGGTCAGGAGTGAGAAAAACAGTTATTGTAAATGAACATCCCATAGTAAGATGTGAATGATTTAAAGTTTCCCAAACTCTCTGTCCCTTCTTTAAATACGAAGGAGAGACCAGATAGAGAACAAAGCCAAGTTTTCTCAGCTCTTTGGAACAAGGAAGGGTTATTTGAATAGCATCTCTTCTTATTGATTTTGTTTAAAGGAATCAAAGGCAGTCATCCTAAGAGAAGTTCAGGTCATATTGATAGTTTTATTTTTCCATCCAGAAGATACATAAATGCATCTGTTGCCTGATTCCCAGGCTGAATTCAATGCATTTGCATCTCCTATTTGGGGTCTTCTATTGTGAACACATATTAACTGGCCCATTTCTTTCTTTTCTTAAAAAAAAACTTACAATGCATGCACATTTACAAAAAAGCAAAAAAATATATGTTTTGTGACTGTGCATGACATTGTCAAATTTGACTCTGATGAGGGCTCACATCTGGTATAAACATATTTGAAGGCTCAAGCATCTTTCAGGGCAAAGCTCTCTTGCGTGCAAAATGGATCATTATGTTGCTTTCAAGTGAAACATCTATGTAGCTGGCTAAACAGCATAATTTGAGGGGCACAGAATGCCCCTCTTTACCCCAGATATCTTGCTTAGAGTTGCGGTGCATTTAGGCTGTGCTTTTAAGGCATTATCTCCACCAAGCTGGCATAGAAATACAGATACGTGACATTACCTCAGTATTTTTTCGTTATCACAGCAACGTGGATGAACTTGCCAGATGAACAGGAATTCGACAGAAGGTCGAGGAATGAGAAATCTTAAAAACTTAATTTGTATTTTTGGTGTGGAGAAATGGAAACGTTCTAGAATGTAGGGCAGCTGTCTGAAAGGTCTGGAGGGACAAAATAGCTGGGAGAAGTTGGCTCCAAATGGATAAGTTGGGTGCCAAGGTGCCACCTTCCCTGACCTCACAGTCCCCCAGCTCAGCTCTGACCCCCCCAGGGACCACTGAGATGCCAAAGTGTAAGGGCTCTTTCGAAGGAATTAACGAGGCTGGGAGAAAAAGAGAGAAGTGACGGGGCCTCTTTAGCAGAGGACTTATGTGGGTAAGGAGAGAGCAGTGAGGACTCAAAATTGATCAAGTCATTTGGTTTATATGCAAACGTCCCCAGGGCCACTGAGGCACCTGGCAGAAATGCCCATGCCCAGTGCTTTTTTGTTGTTGTTGTTCTGAGACGGAGTTTCGTTCTGTCACCCAGGCTGGAATGCAGTGGTGCGATCTTGGCTCACTGCAACCTTTGCCTCCCGGGTTC